GGATAGATTTTGGTTTTTTTAGTTTAGGTTTGTCCATGTCATTATGGACTTAAGTCTATTTATTTGCCACATATGCAAAAAGAGACCCAAAGCATTGTGGATGCTCTTAGCCAATCTTATTGTGAGTTTACATGCTTAGCCCAATAGGCCCAATTAGAGCTACAAATGAATTGAACAGCTCAAAGCTCGAGTTTGACCGACTCAATAACCTTGAACTCCAGCCAATTTAAAGCATTTGTATATTTTTGTTTAGTCGAGATTAAGAGTGGCAAAACGACCTGGACTCGGCCTAATTCGACATAACCCGAAACGTTTGGGGAAAACTCGGTCCACCTTGTTTGTAAAACGAGCAGAACGGGTCTGACCCGGTAAAAAAATGGGCCAGGTCAGTGTCCTACCTATTGCCTCCCCTCGCCCCGGCCCATTTTTATTTTTAATAGGAGTATATATTATATGTAGAGTTAATTGCCAAAAAAAAAAACTCAACCTTTTATTCAATTGCAAAAAAAACTCCACTTTTCCAAATTTGTAGATAAAATTATAACCTTTATTATTTTTTGTAATTGTGTCTCGAGCTCATTTACCGGCCAGATGTGCTGACATGGACAATCGGAATTATGTGTTGGATGTCGGATTATTCTGATGTGGCACTCAACATTTTAATTTGAGTCCACATCAGCTACACATAGGATACCAATTATTTTTGAGGAAAAAAAATCGAATTAGGGTCTCGATTTCACATCTGAAATTATTTCACTTCATCTTCAACCCTGAGAGCTCGAATCGCGTTGAAGAAGAACAAAAACACAGTTCCCATATTTTTGAAGAACATCAAATCGTCCAAGCAAAATCGCGATCTTCAGTTTCATTCGCCGAATCCCAAACTTTACATTTTCGATTCGCCTCGCTCACAACATCTCACAGGTAAGGTTCTGCGATTTTTCGGCTCAAAGCTCGGATTTGTTTTTTCATTTCTGCGATTTTTGGCTGAAGCTCGGATTTTTTCCAGTAATGTTCTGCGATTTTCCGCTCAAGCTCGTAACATCAAAAACCCTAAAATTTTGATTCAAATCCCAAACCCTAAACAGACGAGGGTTTTCTCACCATTTGTGCGGATTAATGTTCTTGTTCTTGTTCGATGGGTTTGGGATTAATGTTCTTGTTCTTTAGCAAAGTGAAACAGCAAATTTTTATTATCTTGAAGAAACGCTCGGTCGATCGATTTTTTTTTTTTTTTTCTCATAAGTAATTTCTGATATGAAAAATCAAGTGTATCTATGTGTTGCTGACGTAGACTCGAGTTAATATGTTGAGTGCCACATCAGATTAATCCGGCGCCAACACATTCTTTCGACGGGTCCATGTCAGCTCATGTTACCGGAAACAAATATTGAGACACAATTGCAACCAATAATAAAAGTTATGATTTTATCTGCATTTTTAAAAAGCTTGAGTTTTTTTGCAATTGAGTAAAAGCTTAGGATTTTTATGACAATTAACTCTTATATGTAATATATAATTTAATACATAATTAGGATTTTCATTTTTCTGAAAAAAATCCAATCCCACACCTGCCGTCTCGTCTCTCCATCTTCTCATATCCGGCGAAGCCCACCATCCACCGTCCGCCTCTCCTCCGACACCATCACACAGTCTCGCCTCTCCCACCAGCCACCGTCTCGCCTATCCTCCGACACTCCTCGCCGCCTAGACGTCCCGCCTCGACGTGACGACGTCCGGTCGACTCCAATTGCAGATTTGAAAGGTAATTACTATCTTTGAAATTGATTTTGCTATTTCCTTTAATTTTGTGAACATCATTAGTGTTAAATTTAACTTGAAATCAGGTGGACTAGCTTAGCTTTGTTACAAATTTCTTCTGCTTTCCGATCGTGACCTCGTTCAATTAATTGTGTTCATCATGGCTGCCTTGTTTATTTTTAACTTTTTTTTTTCAATTTCAAATGGTAATTTGGACACCGAGCAAATTGTAGGAAAAAAAATGGGGCGGGCCAGGGCGGGGTGGTCTTCCTGGACCCGTGGCAGGTCACGGGCCAGGTCCAGGTTATGAACTACCTGGCCCGACCTGCCCCATTGTCATCCCTAGTCGAGTTCAATCTTAAAAAGTCGAGCTCAAGCTCGAGCACCATTTAAAAAAATCAGGCCTCAATAAGGTAAAATTTTGACTCGGCCCAACTTTAAATCAATGGATTTGCTGTTACAATAGACATTATTAATAAAAGCAGGGGATTTTCCGGCGTCCTCTGCATGGATGGCGGCATAGAAGACATATTTGCGTCCTCTTTGAACTTGGAGGAGACCCATTTCAAAGAGGGTTACAGCGAGGGACACGCAGACGGCCTAATCGCCGGCAAGGAGGAGGGCCAGCAAGTAGGCCTTAAGACCGGGTTCGAGGTCGGCGAAGAATTGGGCTTCTATAGAGGTTGCGTCGATGTTTGGAGCTCCGCGGTTCGGATCGACCCGAAATTCGTCTCGGCCCGAATCCAGCGGATGATTCAGCAGATGGATGAGCTGCTCGAGAAGTACCCCATTTTGGAGCCGGAAAACGAGACAGTCTCGGATATGATGGACTCCCTGAGGCTCAAATATAGGGCTATTTGCGCCAGTCTGAATGTGAAACTGGAGTACAATGGCTACCCGAAAGCTTCTCATGCAGGTGATATTGAGTTTTGATTGTTGATTGGCATAATTTATTTAGGAAAGTTCGGATTTTTATTGTGTATATGATTGTTGTTGAGCATAAGGTGTTTGATGTTTGTCCTGAGAGAGGTATTCTGTTTTATGTTAATGATTGTGATTTAGATTATATTATGGATGTTACTTTTTACTATAATTGATTACATGGGTTGTTTATGTATCACTTTCTTCATCACTCCCAAATTTAAAAAAAATAAATAAATAAAAATGTAATTTTTTGTGTGGGGGTAACCTAACCATTTGCGGGTCTTTTTTTTTTTTTTTTTTT